CTGGGAAACCTGTTAAGACTTGAATGAACCAAGAGGGTAGCACAGAGGGGTAGAAAAGAAGGTTCTAGATGCCTGTTGAGGGAACATGGGTCTGGTTGAAGGAAGCGCTTAATAAAAGTTTACCATTTTCGGGGCACCTGGGTGGCTCAGTCAGTTAAGCGTCTAATTCTTGATTTCAGCTCAGGTCATGATCTCATGGTTCCAGGGATCAAGCTCTGCGTCGGGCTCTGCACTGACAGCGAGGAGCCTGCTTGGGATTCTCTCTCTCCCTCTCTCTCTCTCTGCCCCTTCCCCACTCATGCACACACACACGCTCTCTCTCTCAAAATAAAAAAAGTTTACCATGTTCTACCTATTAGATAGGCAAATATCCAAAAGTTTGATAAAACCTTCTGCTGACAAGGCTGAGGGGGACAGGCACGTTCCCAACAGAGTGTAAACAGGCAACATCTATGAAAATTACAGATTAATTTATCCTGTGGCTCAGCAATTCTGTTTCTGGGAATTCACTGAACACAGATACTTGCACAGAATTAAAACACCACATACACAAGGTTATTTATAGAAACAGTGAACTCCAATGTCCATTAAATACAGGGCTGGTCAAATAGACTAAAGTACATTCCTTATAATGGAAACACATGCCATAAGAAAAAAAAAAAGAGAAGAAATTCTGATATGAAACTCCAAAACAAAATCTCTGATATGATCTCTTACAAAACAAGATGTTATACAGTATATTTATAATAGCTTTTGTGGGGAGGGGGCAGGGATACGAAATAGAAAAGACATTTAAAAACTCTGTCTATTCATATTTGTTAGATGAATTTAGAAACATCAAGAAAGATATATAAAGGGGGTACCTGGGTGGCTCAGTCTGACTTCGGCTTAGCTCATGAGCTCATGGTTTGTGAGTTCCAGCCCTGCATCGGGCTCTCTGCTGTCAGCACAGAGCCTGCTTCAGATCCTCTGTTCCCCTTTCTCACTGTCCCTCCCCTGCTCATTCTGTCTCTCTCAAAAATAAATAAATAAACTTTAAAAAAAAGACGTAAGGAATTAATAATTATGATTTTAAAGGTGGGAAAGACTTTTAACTGTAGATAGATTTTTTTTTTACCATAAATCTATTAAAAATTAATATTTAAAAAGGGCCTGAATGGAAAAGTCTCTGCTGTGGTAAGGATGGTATAAAATAGAGAGATGGTGAATCACTATGTTGTACACAAGACTAATATAACATTGTGTGTCAACTAAAATCAAATAGAAAAAAATTTTTAAAACGAGATAGCTTGGCCAAGGGTCCCTCCTATAGTCAAGTTCATTGCTCCCTGTAGTCTTCCTCCACACACCTGCTTGGCCCCTTTTGTCCTCCGCCTCCTCCAGGCTTGGCTCTGGCTCTGCGTCTTTCAGAGGCCTTCTGGGAGGTCATGAAGGAGAGCCCTTATGTGCCATGCTTCACTGCATCTTTTGGAAGTTGTAAATCTAACTCTGAGCTACTAGTTTCCTCCTCTCTCGAGGCCCTATTTTACACCAAGCCTCAGAGAAATGAAGTAACTTGTTGAGTATCAGCCAGGGGCAGAGCTGGAGCCTGATCCAGCTCTGAGCCCTCCCTAAATCCATTCTCCTCACTGCCCCATGTTGCCTCCAGTTACAGAGCCCAGCAACTTGAGGCCCCGAGGAAGAAAGACAGTCCCCTTTTCCTTTATGCCCTCATTGGGGTCAATGCTCAGTCAGGGGCAATCACATGCTATAGGGAAAGAGGAAGAGAAGAAGGAAGGAAGGGGGAGGAGAAGGAATGGGGGAGGGCACTTACTCTTGCAGTGATGGGTCTGAATCATCGGCATTGGCCGCCCCCAGGTCGGAGTCGTAGGACATGGGCTCCTCGGAACGGTCTGGACTCTTGGAGCCATTCTCTTGGATGAGGCAGCTATCAGAGTTTAGGCTGCAAGACAGCTGGGAGGAACTGGCCGTGTCCAGGCTGAGGGAGGAGGCCGTGAGCTTCCGGTTCCGTCGGATCTTATGGCCTGAGTGCTGGACTTCGATGTCCTCAGAGCCTGAGGAATGGGAAATCGAGTCCAGAGACTCTTTCCGCTGTAGTTCTGCCCCAGGCGAGGTGAGGGGGTCGAGCTCAGAGAGTGGGCAGAGCCCAGAGAGAGCCAGTGGGGTAAGCGTCCACTCGTTCAAGATGGCGGACTTGTAGGAGAGCTCGAAGGACAGGGATGTCAGTCCCTGCAGGAAGCTGAGGAGGAACTCGCCCTCCTCGGCATCTCGAAGCAGGGCCGTAGGCTGATAGTACTCGCACAGGCGGGCGGGCTCCTGGAGGAGCAGCTTCAGGTAGCACTCCATCAGGCCATCATTGAGGGCCAGCCTCAGCCAGGCCCGGCAGCGGCCCACGTCCGTGCTGACAAAGATCAGGTGCTCCAACTCGGAGACAATGTGTCTGGGGGTAAGAAGGACACGCTGGGTTCAAGAAATGATTTCAAATCACAGAGGATTATTTTATCCACCAGCCAGCAAGAGCCAGTAATAATGACTGCAAGTATATACGGGCTTGGAAAAGTCTCAGGTAGTAGTGTTCTACGGGGAATTTAGAAATACTGGGGCGCCTGGGTGGCTCAGTCGGTTAAGCGNGGGCAATCACATGCTATAGGGAAAGAGGAAGAGAAGAAGGAAGGAAGGGGGAGGAGAAGGAATGGGGGAGGGCACTTACTCTTGCAGTGATGGGTCTGAATCATCGGCATTGGCCGCCCCCAGGTCGGAGTCGTAGGACATGGGCTCCTCGGAACGGTCTGGACTCTTGGAGCCATTCTCTTGGATGAGGCAGCTATCAGAGTTTAGGCTGCAAGACAGCTGGGAGGAACTGGCCGTGTCCAGGCTGAGGGAGGAGGCCGTGAGCTTCCGGTTCCGTCGGATCTTATGGCCTGAGTGCTGGACTTCGATGTCCTCAGAGCCTGAGGAATGGGAAATCGAGTCCAGAGACTCTTTCCGCTGTAGTTCTGCCCCAGGCGAGGTGAGGGGGTCGAGCTCAGAGAGTGGGCAGAGCCCAGAGAGAGCCAGTGGGGTAAGCGTCCACTCGTTCAAGATGGCGGACTTGTAGGAGAGCTCGAAGGACAGGGATGTCAGTCCCTGCAGGAAGCTGAGGAGGAACTCGCCCTCCTCGGCATCTCGAAGCAGGGCCGTAGGCTGATAGTACTCGCACAGGCGGGCGGGCTCCTGGAGGAGCAGCTTCAGGTAGCACTCCATCAGGCCATCATTGAGGGCCAGCCTCAGCCAGGCCCGGCAGCGGCCCACGTCCGTGCTGACAAAGATCAGGTGCTCCAACTCGGAGACAATGTGTCTGGGGGTAAGAAGGACACGCTGGGTTCAAGAAATGATTTCAAATCACAGAGGATTATTTTATCCACCAGCCAGCAAGAGCCAGTAATAATGACTGCAAGTATATACGGGCTTGGAAAAGTCTCAGGTAGTAGTGTTCTACGGGGAATTTAGAAATACTGGGGCGCCTGGGTGGCTCAGTCGGTTAAGCGTCCAACTTCAGCTCAGGTCATGATCTTACCATTCGTGGGTTCGAGCAGCTAGCTCAGAGCCTGGAGCCTGTTTCGGATTCTGTGTCTCCCTCTCTCTCTGACCCTCCCCTGCTCATGCTGTCTCTCTCTCAGAAATAAATTTAAAAAATTAAAAAAAAATTTTTTTAATTAAAAAAAAAAATATTTAGCGACAACCCTCAACTCTTTGAGGTTGCTGCCATGAAGGATCATTGCCATTTTCATTACAACCCAGGCACCCTGGCCACCATCTGCTCATCCAGCACACATCTGATGAGCCCCTAAGTGCCGGGTCTTTGGAGCTGTGAAGATACGGGATACAGACATGGTCCTGCTCTCAGTCTGGGCTACCACCTTTCAAGGGCACACGGAGGTGATTCCTGCCGTCAGTGGAGCCGGGGTTGGGGGAAGGCAATCATTTCCAGGTTGCAGTAAGAAAAATGCCACAGGAAAGGCAGTATCTGAGCTGGGCCTTGAGGGATTTCAAGAGGCAAAGATGGAAGGGGAATCCTTTAGGCACCAAGGACTGACAGAAAAAGGCCCTGGGGGTAGGGAAGCAGCAGCTCTGTAACCTGAGCAGTGAGCACTCCCGTTGCTGAGCACTCCCATTACAGCATCGGAGGAGGGGCGGCTGGCTGGGTGGCAAAGTCAGGTAACGCATGGTATCATCCAATGGTGAGGCAAAGAGGGGCAAGGGTCCCCACACCTGGCTGTGCGTCAGAATCACCTGGAACCTGGTCAGCATACAGATTCTGGGGCCCCAGCGAAGTGAACGGGACTCCAGGCTAGCGCTGGAGAGCCTGCGAGTTTTTGCACAGGGACTGACGTGACCGCGGTTCTGCAGACCCTGGGTCTGTCTGATGTAAATGCCCTTCCTCTGACTATCACAGTGCCCCGAGCACATCTTGCCCACACGAGGACAGGCTCCACAGGCCTCAGGGAATGAGCTCAGGTGAGTGTAAGCTCAATAAATGTCGACCGGCTGCCTGACCTAAGGAAAGGCAGAATGAGATAAGGGGGACAATTAGAAGGCCACTGTCACCCAGGAGTGAGGTAAGAACCTGAGCCAGGGCAGTGGCAGCACGAAAAGGAAGATACAGGCTGACAAGGCACCTTCGGGCTGAGGGTAGCATTTAATAGCCCTTAGAGGCGCGGTGCCAGCAGCCGCTTGTCCAAAGCCCGGGAGCAGGGGCAGGGCCGCAGAGACAAATGTCCCAGGGTGAGTATTCAGATGATCTGGATTCCACTTCTTTAAAAAATGCCATAGCCTGTTAGGAGTATAACACTTAGCATAGAGACATTCAAACATTCTAAGGCAGGGTCAGCAAACCTCTTCTGTAAAGGGCCACTTAGTACAGATTTTAGGCTTTGCAGGCCACACATTCTCTGTCCCAACTACCGCCCTTTGCCACCATGTGGTAAAAAGGTGGCTCCTGCTAAAGGCGACCAGCCATTGCCTGAGGACTGAGGGGCCCTTGAGGCTGGTCTGACAATAACCCCCACCTCCCCCGTCTCCTTTCCTGTACAGCAGGAGTGGGAGATCCTGGTGTCCCCCACTCTGAACTCCTCCCCACAGAGAAACCTCCCCTGCCGATCTCACTTGTGGGTGACAGCTTTCAGGAGGGGCCAGAAGACAGGCTGAGGCAGAGGCTTCTGGTGGGCACTTTTCTTCCTTTTCCCTCCGGCCTCGGCTCGGATGTGCTTGGCGTGAAGGCCGTGGATAAATACAGCCTCCAGGGCACTGCACATAGTGTTGGCGTCTCCGTCTTCGCTAGTGACCACCGTGTCCGAGGACACGTACTGCTTCTGCAACGCCTTCACTGATCCCACCAGCTTTTTCTTGATGACCTAGTCGGTGTCAGACACAACACAGGCCTTTAGAAGATCCTATGGCGACTGCTGGCATGTAAGTGCTTATCGCCAAATACGGGTGCACCCACACATGTGCTCACGTCTACCTGTGTGTGTGTGCATACAGCAAAACTTGCACAAACTAATCATAGGAAATAAAGAGCAGCGCCTGGCTGGCTCAGTCAGTTAAGCGGGCGACTTCAGCTCAGGTCATGATCTTATGGTTTGTGAGTTTGAGCCCGGAGAAGGGCTGTATGCTGACAGCTCAGAGCCTGGAGCCTGTTTCAGATTCTTTGTCTCCCTCTCTCTCTCTGACCCTCACCCACCTGCACTCTGTCTTGCTCGCTCTCTCTCAAAAATAAACAAACATTAAAAATTTTTTTAAAAAGAATGAAAAGACAAAGTACAGAGGAGAAAAGGAAAATTACATACTTAAAGCACCCAGAGATAGTTATTTTTCTGCAAAGATATGTGTATATTTTTCTTTTGTTTTGCTTTTTAAACTGAACTTCAGTCATTTGATAGCCATAGAAATCTTGTGTCTGAACACTGGCCCCATCAGTTACAGCTGCAGGAACTGGGGTGATGCATCTGGGGCAAAGGTGAAGCTTCCCATCTTGTTTAGGAAACTATGACTCGATGAAGAGGCAACAAGTGCCCGTTTAGAACAAGAAAAGCACCAAGAAAACAGGAACGTCGTCCACATGAAGAAAGATCCTCGGGGTGCCTGGGAGGCTCAGTCAGTTAAATGTCGGACTCTTGATTTTGGCTCAGGTCATGATCTCATAGTTGGTGAGTTTAAGCCCTGCATCTGCCTCTATGCTGACAGTGTGGAGCCTGCTTGGGATTCTGTCTCTCTCTTTCTCTCTCTGCACTCCTCCCTTCATGCTCGCTCTCCCTTTCAAAGTAAACAAATTTCATTTATTTAAAATTTTTTAATGTTTATTTATTTTTGAGAGAGAGAGACAAAGTGTGAGTGGGGGAGGGGCAGAGAGTGAGGGAGACACAGAATCCAAAGCAGGCTCCAGGCTCTGAGTTGTCAGCACAGAGCCTGACATGGGGCTCCAGCCCCATGAACTGTGAGATCATGACCTGAGCCGAAGTTGGACGTGTAACCAACTGAACCACACAGGTGCCTCTTAAATAAATAAATAAACTTTAAAAAGAAAGAAAAAAAAAAAAAAAAAGAAAGATCCATGACCTGGTAGTTAGAGGCTGATGTTAGTCTCAGCTCTGTCGGTCACCAGCTGAGTCACCTAAGACATTTCACTTAACCTCACTGAGCTTAATTTCCTCATCTGTTAAACAGAATGAATACTTCCTGATCTATATAGCACTGGGGAGTGGGGGGTACTCTGAGGGCAGGACTTGTTTCTTATTCATTCTTGCGTCTTTAAACTTGGCATGGTTCCTGGCATATGCAAGAACTCTGTTAAGGTCTCTTACGTAAGTCACTTGTAAAATACATATATGTAATGTCCTTTGGAAAGATAAAAGCAGGTCTGTGGTGATAGAAGCATGTCAAAATTACCTACGTGGTATTTTGGAAAAGGATCGGAAGGGAATACAGAAAAATTGGTTTGAATTGTTAGCTGATAGGATTATGGATAGTTTACTGTTTTATTTTCATTCTACCCCAAACAGTTCATGTTAATGTTCTCTGAAAGTCGAATGTTCTTCTTCTTCTTCTTCTTTTTTTTTTGTAATAGCTTTAATGAGACAATTTACATAGCCTAAAATTCACTCCTTTAAACTATACAGTTGAGTGGTTTTTGGTGTATTCACAGAACGGTAAAACTATAGCCACTGCCTAATTTTGGAACATTTTCATGTTTTTCGAAAAGGAACACTGTGCCCATTAGCAGTCACTCCTCTCTGTTCCCCTCTCCTCCAACCCCCAGCCACTACTAATCTACTGTCTTTGTGGATTTGCCAATTCTGGACATTGTGTATGAATGAAGTCATATAGTAAGTACGTTGTCTTTTGTATCTGGCTTCTTTTACGTACCAGGTTTCCACGGTTTGTCTAGACTGTAGCACGTATCGGGGCTTTGTTCCTTTTTATTGCCAAATAATTTTCCATTGCATGGACATACCACATTTTATTTATCCAGTCACTGGTTAACAGACATTTGAGTTGTTCCCACCTTTTGGCTATCATGCTGATAGGAACATTTATGCTCAAGGTTTTTGTGTGGACCTAAGTTTTCAATTCTCTTCGGTGTATACCTAGGAGTGGAATTGCCCATCTGCTTTCCCTAATGCCTGCACCATCTCACATTCCCGCCTGCAGTGTATGAGGGTTCCAATTTCTCTAAACCACCACCACGTACTATTATCTGTCATTTAGGTTCTAGCCGTCCTAGGGGGTATGAAGAAGTCTCTCAAGATTTTGAATGGATTTGTCTAATGTCTAATGATGTTAGGATCTTTTCATGAACTTATGGGTCATTTGTACACCATGTTTTTTTGTTTGTTTATTTTATTTTTGAGAGAGAGAGAGAGAGAGTAAGAATGGGGCAAAGAGAGAGGGGAACACAAGATCCAAAGTGGGCAAGATGGTGACAGCAGTGAACTCCCAGATCGTGAGCTCATGACCCGAGCTGAACGGATGCTCAACTGACTAAGCCACCCAGGCACCATAGTGCCTTCTTTTCTTTTAACGTTTACTTATTTATGAGAGTCAGAGAATGTGCACACATGTGTGTGCCTATGGGGGAGGGACAGAGAGTGGGACCGAGGATCCAAAGCAGGCTCTGCTCTTACAGCAGAGAGCCTGATGCGGGGCTTGAACTCACAAACTGCAAGATCATGACCTGAGCTGAAGCTGGTCGCTTAACCATGTGAGCTACCCAGGCACCCCATATGTTTGCCTTCCTTTGAGGAATCCTTGGTCTTCAGGTAGCCTGTATTAAAGTCACCGTTGGTTTTTAAAAATTCCAATTTTTATCACCAATAAGACATTCTAGAAGGGGCAGAATGTCCTCAGAGCCTGCTGATGCCATAACTTTTTCTCAACCCGAGCCCTCTCTTTCCAGACAGGGCTCACTCATTTCAAAGTTAGGAAAACACTGGACACGCTGTCCCGTGAGCCCTCCCCCACCCGTGAGCCTCTCTTACTGCCTACCAGGATGGCAGCCCGGGGGTCCAGTCCATTCTCCACCACCGAGAGCATCTCCACTCACACGGCAGCCCCCTCGGAGAATCACATGACACCTGCAGAGACAGATGGTGGCGAGATGAGCAGGTTACAGCTCACCACCCCCAGCCAATTCTCCCCTCCCCCCAGCTCAGCCCATCTTCCTCAAACTGTAACGCAAGGGCCTGTGAATTCAAAAGTAAAAGCCAAGGGTGGATTTTAAGGAAGGAAACCAAGAAAGAGAATAAATCTGAGGGCTCAGCTCTCAAGAGGTGAGAAATCCTATGTGCCACGGGTGGGTCTGCCCTAAGCAGTGCACAGAAAGGGCTCTGTATGCCACACCAAATGCTGGCTCAAAAAAGCAGGGAATGAAGGAAGGGCTGATTTAGATATACGGAGCTAAGGGTACAAGGTGGGGGGTGCTGCAGCTGAAGGTGCCAAGAGCCTACACGGACCAGGGAGCAGGGGCTCACAATTCACATCCGGGCCTTGGGCCTGCAAACTGCCACCTCTGACTCTGGGGCCAGCCTGGTGTCTGCCAGCTGGGCAGGGACAAGTACAACTGAAACGGTTTCTAAAGAGAGGGCCTATTGCTACATAGTGGCTTCCCCTCCAGTAGGAGGGTCAGGCTTTGCTGGAGCAGCACAGGGACACGCCTCAAGGGAAACAGCACAGGTTCAAATCTGCATAGCCACTAGCCCCTGAGGCATGCTGGGTGTGGACCACAGCAGACCTCTTCAATGGAGGTTGTGAACTGGAAAACACCTAGCCTAGCACAGGGCTTGACAGTACTGAGGATAAATGGTAGCTATGACCCCAGGGGATGTGGCCATACAACTCTATAGGCAAAGGCGATGCCTGAAAGAGTGCACCCAGGTACTTGATATCAGTACACAGGTAAAGCCCTCAGGGCATGGGCTTCCCCCTGGGGGTGGCCTGGGGGGGAGGGTTTCAATCTGAGCCTCAGGGGGCTGCTGGCTCGCAGGTCCCAGCCACTTGGACAGAGCAGGATTGCGCAGGCACATTCCCATCTAAACATCATCTCTGTTGACCACACTGCCGAGCATGAAGGGACACCCAGTTTGCACCACAAACTGGGTCACCCATGCCTCTGTTCTCACAAACCTATGGGCCAAAGAAGTGATAAAAGGAGGCTAAATGGATTTTGTCCTGTTTACATATGTGACTTCATTCATGCCTCATGACCACCCGGGAGAGCCCTCTTTTTATCAGGATCTCACAGACCCGGAACTAAAGCTGACCCAGGCCAAGGAGCCTCCCGAGGTTCCAGGGCTGCTAAGCACGTTCTACCACCTTCCGCCAGGATGATGTCCACCCTTCTGGAAGAGGCGGGTGTGAGGTAGGGCTAAGGGTGGCCGGGGAGGGGGCAGGGGGGTCTGGGAGGAGGGCTCTTCAGCTGGGGGCCCAGGTGACAGGGTGCAAGGGAGCATCAGGGTGGCCCCAAATGATGAAAGGTGCTCTGATTCAAGCCCTGGCCTCTGGATCTGACAGGACCGAGCGCCAACTTTCCTAAGTTAAGGACACGCAGAGGGAGGGAGGTGTGTGGAGGCCGACTCCCCCCCACCCCCAAACCAGCTCCGGTCAGCACACAACAGACTGGCCAGAAGAACGCTTGGTCCCTGGCCACCGCCCATCTGTCTCTCCCTCAAGCTCCTACCCACCTGGGATTCTCAGGACCCTCCTCTGGTGACCAGCTCCATGCTCTGGCCACCAGGGCACCAGGAAAAGGGACCGTGCTACAGAGTCCCTCTTCCTGAAATCGTGCCTGATCTTAGAGGCTGGGTTTCTTCAAGGCTACCCTAGGCAGCCCTGCAGGCCAAGTTCAGGCTCTCTGGCTCTGAGACCCTGGCATCCAATCCCCTTCGGCAATTCCAGGGGCCTAAGGTCTCCCCTCAGGCCTGCCCTTCCAGACAGAGCCTCAAGCTCTAACACTGCCCTTCCCTCAGCCTTGAGGCTTGGGCCTCTACAATCTGAATAGCAGGTCCATGAAGGCCTCATTAACTAATTAACTGAATATAATAGAGGATTCATTGGAGGCGGGGAGGCTTATCAGTAAGTGGGTGCTCTGGTCAAGTCAGGGTCTGTTAAAAAAAAAAAAAAAAAGCCAAAGTAAACTGATACTGAGAGGTCAGAGCAGGGCCAAACAAGGGACAACTGTGGCCTAAAACTGTCAGGAAAGCCACAAAATGACAACAGTGCAGAGAAATCCAGAAAAACTGCCACTTGACAATTCACAATACAGAACCGAGACATGGGGATCAGGGCAAAGTCCAGGGCAAATCTCTTTTTGCAGGAAGCTAAAGCCCCCTACCTAGGCCTGTCTGTTCTAGAATGTCTCAGGAAGGCAGGAAACGGCTCAGAGGCAGGCCCACAGCTGGCTACGACGGGAGATCTCTGGCCTCTGGGTCTCCTGACTGCCAGGTGGGCACTCCAGCAGGCTCCTTGGGTGGGCCAGGCTCCCACTCCGCAGCACTAAGGGACTAGTTTCACTTTCTAGCCTCAGAACCGTCTTCACTGACACCAAGAAGCGAGCCAAAGAGGGGTGTGTCTTCGGGAGACCCGGAATGAAGAGAGCAGGCAGAGAGTTCAAACACCGTCGGTGCAGTTGAGCAGAAGAGGTGAGTGCCATCTGCCTTTAGAAAACTCCCAAGCCACCCTTAGCCTACCTCTGCCCCTCAGACTGTCTTACTCTGGCCCGGAATCTCATTCTCTCACCGCATTTAATTCTTAAAATAATCCTGTGAGAGAAGGATTATTAGCCCTCATTTCACCGAGGAGAAAATTGAGGCTCAGGAGAAACACACCTCAGGTGAGGGTCAGAAGCTCCACTGTATGAAAGAAGGCCTAACACTAACAGGAAATGATCTTGCCCATCGGATCTGCAGCCCCAGCTAGGGGAGCACAGGTCCCTTCCACAGCAGCCAGGTTTCTGTATGCTCCAACACCCAGGAAGGAATCGTCGTTGATTCTCTTCGTGATACTGCCTGGCCCTCTATAAACATCCGATTTCACTTCCTCCAGAGACTAAGGAAGAACGAAAAGAGGAGAAGGGCTCAGATGAGACTTACATTAAAAGAAGAAATGGATGAGCTGGCTTCACCACTTTCGAAGCACTCCATTCATCAGCAAACAGCAACCTCTTCTCGGAGACTTCCCGCCATCCGGGACAGCCTCGTCTCTACGGCCTGACTCGATCCTGCACCTGGCTACGCACAACAGCAGGCGGGTGTTTAAGCCCTCCAGCTGTTGTGCCAGGTGATGAGTCAGGGTTTTCAGTTGGAAACAAATGACAAAGTTATCTTCTGATTCAGAAAGACAGCTGATACTTCAGACATGTGAGTGCTGAGTGAGGAAATAGCACCTCCTTCTACCTGAAGAAAATTGGATTTCTAGACAAGAGCCCTGTGAGGGGTGGGAAACAGGGGCAATGAAGCAACTGAATACCAGCTGGAGGGCAAGAAACTTCTAGCTCGTGATTCCCAGTCCAAAGGCTAGTGGGTGAGGCCAGAAATGTGAAGTCTATGAACACTGCGTATCTTTCTTTCCTCCCTCCCTCCTTCCGCCCAAAAACACCCATCTCTCCCATATTCTTGTCCCAGATCCCTTACCGTTCTGTCAAGGACCAAACTCTGAATGAATGAAAGCAGGAACTCTGCCTGACTCATTCGCCGTTTCATTTCTAGTGCTTCGAGCAGCGCACAGCACGCAGTAGCACTCAAAAAAATACTTGCTGAATGAACAGACGACTAACATAAAAAGGCTCAGGGCAGGTATCTCTGTTTCTGACTGTAAGAAATTGAGGCATACAACTTTTCCGTGGTGGGGCCACTCTGGAACTCTTTCCCCTACAACAAGCTGCCAACAGGCTAAAACCCTTCAGATAGATCACACCTTAATGGAGGGGGATATTGAAGGTAAAAGGACAATCAGTGTTCAAAGAAGTGAGACTATAAATGGCAAGCAAAGACAATGGGTCCTCTTTAGGGCCCTTTTACAATCGCTGTCAAATGGCCAATCCTTTGGCCACCAGAACTTAAGAGGGGATGGGCACCCAAAAAGCCCAGGAGATTATAAATGTTAATGAGGGGGCCTGGGTGCCTCAAGAATGTCTAGCTCCTCTGAGATAACTTGGCTTTCTGTGTTCATGGGTAATCAAAATGGTCAAAACTCAATGATCCGGCACCTGCAAAAAGAGGCAGCGATTCAACAGCCTCCACGCAGACTTCAGCGACCCCAGGATCCTCACCTATACTCTTCATATGTAACGTCACCTCTGGTACGTTCCGTAGTGGGACTAATCTACAACCAGTTCTGGCCAGGAGGAGCACTGGGTGAGGGTCCTTTCTAAGTGCCAGGGCAACGCACATGGACGTGATTCTGGGACCACAGCCAACCCCACACAGGGGGACTCCTTGAGTTTCTCTAGATCATCATCCAAGAGGAAGCGATAAGCTTCCACTGCTCCGGGCTGAATGAGTAGCTATCCCTGGCCTTCCAGGTATTTGGATGGTACCTACCATGCCAGCAGCCAAGCAAGTAATGTAATAGGGATGCCAGAAACACAATCCTTGAGGACAGGTACAGGGGACTTGACATCCAGGAAAAACACTTGACCCACGGGAGATGGCTCTCTACTCCTCCACACTTACCGTCTGAGGCCCTGCATCAGCTGAGGTGTTCACCACTGCCTGGCTCTGAGAAAGCACCTAGGTTGCTGCTGGTGTTGAGGGCAGCAGGCGGGTTGGCAGAGGATTGCACTGAGTTCTCAGATCAAACGTGGGCCACACATCCCAGAGTTGGGAGAAGAGTTGAAACGGGGGAAGAGATGAAACCTCCATCTACCAAGATTGGGTAGGGGTGGTAGGAACTTGTGGGGGGGGGCAGAGTTGGGGGGTGGTTTAGCAAAGACTTAGGAATGAAGTGCCTCAGGTTGGCTGAGGATGGAAGAAAGTATGTGGTAACCTCGAAAGTTAGGGGTTGAATGGCTGAGGACAAGAAGACACATACAAGACTTGAGACAGGGCTGAGATCAGAGTTATCAAGAGGGGGTTAAGCTCAATAGAGCATCATCTACTTTCGTGGTCGGTATTAAATGAGAGTAGAGAGAGGTGGGTGTTTGGGCTGAGCAGACCTTGGGGGACTGAGCAGGGGGACTGGGATAAGAAATTTGAGCCAGATAAAGGATAAACCAGAATGACGGAGAGTGGGGGCTGGGGGTGGGGGTGGGGGGACTCGAGGAGGTCTGTGTGGAGCACTGGGATTGCCAAAGGGGTTGAGGAGTGAGAATGAGATGCGTTCGAGAAAGGCGGAGGGAAGTGGCTGTGCTCGGGGTTGGAAGTGGGCTACCGGTGGGGTCGAGTGTGGCTGCACTGACGCAAGACCGGTGGTGAGGGGCTGAGGTAAGGGCTGGGCTCGGGTGACGGGTGGAGAAGACGGAGGGGACGGGTCAGCACTGGCTGTTTGGGCTGAAGGCTCGGGTCCGAGTCGGGTAGAGTGCGGGGCTCAGGCGGGGAAGGGAAAAAGCTCTGAAGCAGGACAGTTTCAAAGCAAGCAGAGGTTTGCGATCACGGACAGGGCTGGAGACCCATCGCCGTTCGCGTCTCTGCCCCGCCGTCCCTTCTCACCCTTCTCGCCCCCGTACCCCTAACTCACCAGAGCGAGCGGGGAGGGGGCCGGGAGCACTCCAGGTCACTGCAGCCCCTAAGCCTCCGACCAGACGCCGCGACCTCCCGGCCAGTGACAACAGGAAACGGCGCTCGCGGCGCCTGACGCCATCACGTTGGTTCGGCGTCCTGCCCCGCCCCCCCGGAACGCGGAGCCAATCGCAGGGCCGGCGGGACGGGGGGGCGGGGCCAGCGCTCAGGAAAGCCCGAACTACCAGCTCCGGAGCCGTTGAGCGGTCTGGGAGGCTCTGGGCTCTGGGGACCCGAGATGCGCGCTAAGAGGGGAGGCGACCAGGCTGGCCCACCAGTGTCGGGCGGAACGTGTCCTACGTCCCGCCTCCAGCAGTGTCTGCGCCTGACTTCTGGGTTCATGACTTCGCCTGGAGTCTAACACTGGGGCTGTGAGTTGGCCTCCTGCGTGAAGGTTCCCACCTGTAAAATCGGACCAATAATGCCTACCCTATTTTTGCCTCCCTGAGGGCATCAGCTCACTTGGTGCTTCCCGCCTGGCGGCTCTCAGGAAAAGCATGCAGGATTTGACCACCCCTTACATCAAGGGAGAGCCTTTAGGTGCCCGTCAGACCCCAGACATGAAGCTTAAGGGTCTGGTTATTCTCATCTTGCCAGGTAGTTTGTTTCCTTTCCTTGGTAGAGTTGACATTTCTCTTTCAGATGGACTCAGAACAAAAGATCAAGAGCGGCGGTTGGTGAGGGTGTCAAGAGCGGCGGTTGGTGAGGGTGTCAAGAGCGGCGGTTGGTGAGGGTGTCAAGAGCGGCGGTTGGTGAGGGTGGGGAGGGATGTCTTGTGCTTGGGACACTACCTGCAGGCTTAAGTCAGATGGGATCTTAGGGCCTGAGGGTGGGGTGAGGGCTGGGGTGGAGAGGTACTGCTACTTGAAGGTCCAGGGGGACTTTGGGGATGTTGGGAACAGGAGAGTTCTTGGAAGAAAGCTACACTGATCTGGGCCAGGCGCTCCATTGGCCTTCCTGGGAAGGGGTCCCAGTGCCTGTTTCCATTTCTAAAACCAGCTGTTGGAGATGTGGCACCTGAATGTGTGCTGGCTACCCCTTCAGTATATCTCTCCGCAAGAGTGAGAACCACCTCTGCTGGATTAGATGAATCGGAGTACATTTAGTATGGCTAACAGTTGAGCAGGCAGTTAGAAATAAGGACACAGAGGGGCGCC